CATTACTGGAATAATAAGAACAGGCAGAAATAGAAAGGAGATCATGCTTTCTATATGGCGCTGACTGGTAACGAAAGTGCTACACACTTTTATAGTGCGCTATCCACAGATAGTTTTCATAATTTAAAAACTCTGGCCACAGACGATTTTCAATATAAAGTAGAATCGCAGAGTTTCCGTTTGCACATCTGCTACAGAGTGGAACGTCAGAAGTTGAAGGCTGGTACAGTGGGACTTTGCAATAACAAGTACATATTGAATCACGGGGGAGTGACTTTTTCTGGATTATTGGATTGCTACTGAATTAGCTTGGAAGTTAAATCGATGACTACTTAACTAATTGTTGATGATTATCGTATAAGCTCAAACAAATAAGAAATAATTTCTTCAGGATATATTTTCATTTAGCGCACCTTTTTACCTCTACCTTCACCGTGACCGAAACAAAATCTTCTTTCTTCAATGTTGTAGCAAATACAAGTTGTCTGCCCTTAACATCAAAAGAAACTAGGACGTAATATACACATTATAAGTAAAATTTACAGGTGAAGAATTTAAGGTTACAACCAGAAATTTAAATCTAATTCCGAAGAAAAGGAAAAATTAAAACTGTAAATATTTTACACCTCTATACAGTATCTTCAACAAACTTCATTTAGAACATTTTGCAAAGCGTTTTATTCGGCAAGCCTAAGTTCTTGCTCTTCTGGAGTCAGGAGCCAATGCGTTTCCAAAGCGCCTTTGCCCTAAAAACAAATAGAGGTGTGGACATATAAACAGTGAAAAAATTACAACAAATAGGTTATTACGAAATTCATCCGAATTGCAACTAGTACTGTGCTAAACAATGCACTACTTGGAATAAAACTATAGAAAAATTTGGTCAGTAGGATCTAGCATTTTATTCATCCAGTAGCTATATTTCTGATGTTAGGAAATCCCTGATAATCAGCAAAAAGTTTCCAAATTAAAAAAAATACACGTGACAAATTTTCTGGGCCCATATGTATTTACATGAGCGCGTACCTTTACAATAACCTCTCCTCTTGGTTCCGTTTTATACCCACCAATCACCCCTGTCAAAAATTCCTTTGTTTCAGCGGAGATGTGCACTCGGCCAGCTGCAATAAATTG